CGATCTTATGTTTGTTAACTATGGCAAAGTGTGTGACAAGGAGTCTGTAGAATGACAATGGCTCCAGCAAGGCTACTAACTCTAAAATTGACTACATTTAAAATACTTTAAGTAATCTAAAAATGGCGACGTAACTTAGCTTTATGGTGTGCGTGCTGGGCCAAATAATTAGCAGCACAGACTACCAATCAATACGATAGTACCTATGCTTTGTTGAAAACTAATTGGTTTGGTCAGTACTTAACAATCCAAGCAAACGAGGGGAACATCTAGGCCATATATTATACGAATTCATAGAAAATTCAATTTAGGTTGTAGTCTAAATTTAAACTCTATCTCAATGAGCATTAAAGCCATGCTAATTTTAGTCACTCTCTGTCATTCATTTCTTAAGAGACTTTAACAAAGAAAAACCAGAACATTTTTTTGGAATGCACGTAGCAGTTTTATACGCAGAATTTTATGTACAAACTAGGCAAAGACAGACAGAGACAGACAGACCGACATACAGACAGACAGAGACAGAGCGATATATAGAAAAACTATAATGTGACCAAGTTTTAACATTAAAATTTGCCGGAGATGTACAAACGTACAAGATGCAACATATGCAGAGACGGGGATCAAACTCAAGTGAGAAACGACATATCAAAATCAAAACGTCAAATATAACTTGACTTTAAACTCAAGAAAAGTCATTGAAACATAGGTAATGTTAAATGTATTAAACATACATGAAAAATAATAATATTGGCAATAAACCAGATCATTCGGATATACTCAGGCACCTCTGTATGAGTGATATAGCCAAAAATACATGTATTACATCAATTTCAAAAGTCTTGCGGTAAATTTTGTTAACTACAAGAAAGGTTGTAACAGGGTGAATGTGGATATATAGTTGCTCTAGCAAGGTTTAAATCCAACACTTTTATTTCTTTATTAGTATAAAACCATATCACAACCAAATTTCAAAATGGTGACATGACTAAACATTTAATTGTGCTGACTTAGTGGCCTAACTATGGTTAGTGCCTCCTATTACTGAACTAAATACAAAGTTTATATGACAAAGACAATTTCTAGACCCTGACGCTTTAAACGGGAATAAATGAATAAATCGAGAGTTGTGCAAGGACACCGATAATCTCTTGTTTATTATAGCCTTGCAGGAGAAGCATTATTCCCTTTTATATTTCAGAGCAGATGTGGAGTTTTATACGCCGATGTTGTTGACGGCTATAGAAAAGAGTAAAGCTGTTTATAGATGACACAAGAGATTGCATAAATGTAGGTCAGTGAGCAATGTTGGTTTAATTTGTCTGGACCATAAAAGAGGCCAGTTAAAATGCATATTCCGTTAGGAAAAAAATTCTAAATCTCTTATACGGGAAATAACATGATCAAAACGATTTTTAATAACTTTCTTCCTATTCGAGATTTATGATCATATTTGTTTAATGTGTTTGTTTCATGAATGAAGAACCTTCTCACAGACCCTTGTCTGCTCCATACGCTCCTCACTAGTTCCAACTAGACATAATCTTCGGCAAATGTTGTAAGTCTTAAATGCTTCGGTTGTGACAACAATTTGAATATACAAAGACGCACACATAACTAGGTCAGCTACTTGCGCAGTAGGTGTTGTATTTTGTATAATTATAATTATTGGGCTCTTAAAGTAAATGTCACGTTTTGATAAGTTTTGGAAGATTAACTCTGTGCGATACTACCTTCTAGAAGCACTGATTGGAAGTATTTGCTATTTTGATCAAATTTATGTAAATTAGAATTTTGTGTGTGCTTTGACAGAAGCAGTCCTAATCAATGCCATGATTTCATTTCTTAGACAGCTGATTGGAATCATTCTCACAGAGTGTTTTTATTGTTAGATGTAAGAGTGACATGTGACATTTGGAGTTGTGAATCTTGAGATGATTGTGACATTGTCTGTCTCATTTGTATATTTAATGTGATGTAGATGTAATATTTAAGTTCGAGCTTGCCTGGTCTACAAATTGCTGAATTTAGTATAAGCGCTGATGTCTTGAACTAAATATGGGTTTTGGTAAAGATATGTACGCTGCACAGTCTATGTATTAGTTTTCTTCGTTGTATGCATGACGAATATGAGCTTACGTTATGACCCATTATATACCTGTTTCTTTAGAAGCGTTTCCTACAGTGTACTCTAAAACATGTTGAGTACCAGCAGAGCATAAGTATTAGTATATTATAGTTTCCATTCTGCATATATAGGAATATCAGCTTGTAAAGAACCGGTGTATTTCACGAATCTCTGAAAGACTAAAACTAGTACCGAAAAGTCAGTTTGGAGCAGTGATAGATTTGCCATATCAAGGTCATATTTAAAACTGGCTTGTTTGTGCTGTTTGCCATGTCAAGGTCATACTGAAAACTGGCTTGTTTGTGCTATTTGGAGTAATACTGCATGTCCTTTATTATATGAAGTCATCTATTTAATATTGTTTTCAAATATGATCTCATGCTTATGGCATTTTTGGAACATAGAATAACCAAATAGTTGGTAGTAGATTCTAGGGGAATATATAATTTGTGATTCCTGACCACAAGTATGCCATTTGCAACCACTCAGGGGTAAGTGAATTTTGGAGGGATGAGTAGTGCTGTCTGTTTGGGTGTCTCTGTTTATAACTTTGTATCCTTTTAGTGATTATATACTAATTATGGGGAACCGGGAATGGGAAGATATCTCTTAACACAAATCGTTAGACAATGGTTAGAAGAAGATATGATGTGCGAAAATCACAATACTTACGATAGCATAATTTAGTTTCGTAAAATGGACCCTTTTTAATTTATTCTCCCGATATTTTAGGCATATAGTTTTATTAATTGAGAATGGGATAACATTTTTTATTCAATGTTTTGTATTGCATGACATGATGTACTAGAAAATTATATGTAGTGTTTGCACGTTTACGAACCTTTCAGCAGACAATTATTATTATCGTTAGGTTCTTGTAAACAATGGGAAACAGTGGACTCGTGTCAAGCTCAGCAGGAGTTTGCTTCGCTGATATTGATCTGCTCTCATGTAGCAATTAATATAAAATAAAAGATAGAAGGAATTATGTACCAGGAAGAAATTATGGTTCAATTTGCATTTTTCACTTTGATAAAAGTAAATTGATTTAATAAGTTCAACTAAGGCATTGTGCAGAATATATTGACTATATTGAAGCAAAACCTTATTTGATTGTCTAATATTATCGTATTGTCTTAGGCTGTTTAGTTATGTTTAGTTACACACATTTGTTATGGACACCCGTTTTTATGGCCATGGTTACAGCTTCCGAAAGATTCATTTATTCTTTCATTGATTAGAATTTATGGTAGCTCAAAACAGTCATCAACGATCAAATGCATTGCTTGAAAAAAATGGTAGTCTGATTGACAGGCTATTTTGACTTGAGAACATCATTCAATTTTGTTCTGATTTGATTGTTTGTTTTTAGAAACATCAGACCTGAAAAAGATACATAAAATGGAAATATCTCCTCCTTTTAATTCACATATTGCAGGTGTTCGAATTTAGAAAACCATTTAATTGATTAAATCTCTGATTTACAATTAGATTCTGATTTGTTATTTTGCATCATAATTATATGATATTTACAATTGCAAAACCATTCTATTGTTTCACAGCCTTTGATTGAATGGTGTCCAACTAATATATAGTGATCATTCAATGGTATTTTTATCCAAGACCAAGTCTAAACCTACAATAAATAAAAATATTGGATTTGTTGGCAAAATATATATAATTACGCCCTAATTTCATTTTTGGATGCTGTATATTATGTTACCAGGAAATTAATACCATTAGGAGAAGATTACTACCACTAGTTTCTGAAAAAGAAATTATGCTTTAGAAAATTCTTCTTGTGTAAACACGGAGATAAAACCCTTCGAAGTATTCTAAGTCAATTTCCGATACTCATAGCATTCCAGTTTCTAACAGTTAAAAGGTTCCCTAGGTAATATACAATGCAAGCTTGTCGTACTCCATTAATATCACATACATCCTAGAGAATATAGCCACGATAACTGTTAGCATAATTTCGTCCACTATTATAGCATTATCTCCCAAGATAAACCACTACAAACTCAACACGTATCTCGTGTTTCCAAATTTACTTTTTGGGTAAAACAATGGCAAGCGTAGACTGAAGCCATATACTATTAGTACATTGTTTCAGAGTGGAATAACCGGAAGCTTGGTTTTCTTTTTATTGGGGCTTTTACTGGGGAGATAAACGCCGATTTTCTGCAAATGATAGACATTCATGTTGCGCGGTATATTATGGTGGAAGAATAACTAACGACCTGCTGGATTCTACTGCCAAACATTCGTACATACCCACGTTTGTCGAGCCGGATCTCGAACACACACACACGAACACAGGTTAGTTGCAAGAGATCTATAAATAAAATAATATATTTTTAGGCCAAGTAGATACTCCCAGGCAAAACTAGTTTGAAATCTACCCACTATTGCCACATTAACAACAAGGGTAAACCAAAGGAAAATTAGTCTGGACTAATCCAGTTACCATAATAGTTCCCAGGTTAAAACCGTTCTAATTATACCACGAATCCATCCAGAATTGTCACATTAGTTCCTATGCTAAATGAATGGTTCACATAGCATCAATCCATCAACAATTACCACATTAGTTTCCAAGGTAAAACATGTTAAATTTAGCATCAATCCATAAAGATTACCACAATAGTTTCCTGGATAAGACCACTCTAGTTTAGCAACAATCCATAAACATTACCACATTAGTTTCCTGGATAAGGCATCAAGTGTAGCATCCATCCATAAACATTACCACATTAGTTTCCTGGATAAGGCATCAAGTGTAGCATCCATCCATAAAATATTTCCACATTAGTTGTCTGGATAAGACATGTCAAGTTTGGCATCAATCGATAAAAGTTACCATATTAGTAACTCTCTGCTGGCCTAGTGGTTAGAGTATCCGCCTCAGATGCGGGAGGTCGTGGGTTCTTTTCCCGGTCAAGTCATACAAATGACTTACAAAAATGGTACTAACAGCTGCCTCGCATAACGCTCAGCATTAAGAGGTTTGTGTTAGGACTGGTCGGCCTGGTGTCAGGATAATGTGACTGGGTGGGACATTATGCTACATGTCTGCGGCATGACGCCTCAGTGCTAGACATCACTATAAACTGCCACACTGCAGACATCGTAGCGATGTGACTGAACAATTTTTAAAGATACATTAAAAGTCCTAATCACATCACAACACATCACCAAATTAGTTTCCTGGATAAGACGTCTAGTTTAGGATGACGTTGTATACTAGTAATGTTTTAGCCCTAAGGCAAACTAATGGCTAGCACAGCATTATCACGTCCACTATTACTTTATTAACTACCAAGGTAAAGCCATAACAAGATTAGTATGTATATATCAACAAATACCACATTAGATCCCAAAGCACAACAATGGCAAATTCAGTTTGCATCCATTTTTTCCTTATTGGGTCCCAGGACAAAGTTTAACATGTTAACTATGACAAGCGTAAGCGATAACTGTGCGTTTTACAACTTAAACTAGTACCGCATTCAACAAAAACATGACAAAACATTGCCTGCATGTCGGAAAGAAACGGCCGTACACATTTGCCTATTTAATTTCTAACAATAGCTAGAATATTATGTAATCAGTACCATAATAATAAGCACAAAAATATTTTGATAATTAAAAAAATATATGACACACATTCGGAATCATTAACATCGGACAATAGTATACCCTTATGTACACGTATCCCTTTTTAGCATCATTAACACCAGACAATAGTATACCCTTCTGTGCACGTACAACTTTTCAGCATCATTAACATCGGACAATAGTATACCCTTCTGTACACGTACAACTTTTCAGCATCATTAACATCGTACCAATTTTCAGCAAATATAACGCTAGTTTTAAAAAACAAAATTCTCTGCCACCATTCTAGGTTGGTGTTGTATACAGCAATAGTGAAGTATCAATATCATGCAACATCACATGCCAACATTAAACGAAATGGTAATCTAATCGCTGTAGTTATATATTTATCATTAAGTATCATATGGCTGTCTGTGTTCTAAACTAGACTGATGAAGATATTAACAAACAAAGATCAAGCTCACGTCGGTTTTTAATCGCAATGCTCACTTACGTTTACGTTTACCTTGTAAAAATGTATGCTCGTTGTTAAAATGTTTGTTGGATACTTCTTCAAATATATCATCGCAATGATCGTCTCGTATATTTCATAGCATTTTATCATGTGCCATATCTTCCCCTATATGAGTTACGTATGACATTATTGATAATACCAGAAACATTATATCAGTTTCCAAACAAAATCTGAGTGGAAGCTTTAGTGTATAAGAGACGAGACAATCTTGCGGACTGAGTGATTTATCATTCAACCTTATTTAATGAACAGTCCTTTTATGTATCATTCTGTCACAAAAATAGCAGTATCTATATAGAAAGGAGAAACAAACTACAAATACAATTTTGATAAATAATGTACCAGTATAAATATAGCTAGTCCGAGTTTCCTCTGACCCACCCCATTTTTGATATTTGGTTTTTTATGTTGGGGTGTAGGGTCAGAGTCTATTCCCTATCAAAAACTTGGAATTTGCCGACACCATTTGGAGTAGGCATAGGGTACTCGCCAACTATCAGGCCTAGCAAACTTAAATGACCTTACATTGACACGTAATTACATTAAATCGATAGGGAAATCATTTATCTTCTCAGAAATTACAAACATAACACGATTTTGTCTTTAATCCGTTGTCAGACGAGAAGTAACTACAGCATTGATGAATTTTGACCTCGTTCGCACCATTTTCATTGATAGTCACCTGACTAACCAAATCTCGCAGCCGATATGCATAAACGTCATAGCTCAAATAGTCACGTGATAACAACAAAAAAGCAGCGTTTTCCCATACCCCTTGTGGAAGAAGGCAAATGTGTCACCTTCATTGATAACTGATTTTATTACATCATACTGTAGTTCTTTAATATTAAAATAGTATCCCTTTTCTTAAAGTATCTCATTGGCAAGAGCTTCCGTGTATTCGTCTTTACCTGCCATGTTGCCATATAAGGTTTATGCACAAAGCCTTCCATTCTAGTACTGCAGAAAGAAGAAATAAACTCGAAAATATTGAATGAAAGTCACGCAATGTATACAATAACAAGAAAAAAAACACGTATTATTCAACATATTAATTGGGATAACAGCAGCCCGAAACATGTCGCTGTCGCATCTTCCTGGAAAGAGGCTGACTGATCACGCAGAAACTACATGTCAACGCACGTTGTTGTTATCACATGACTATTTGACCTATGACGTTTATGCACATCGGCTGCGAGATTTAGTTAGTCATGTGACTAGCAATTAAAATGGTGCGAACGAGGTCAAAATTCATCAACGCTGTAGTTACATCTCGTCTGACAACGGATTAAAGACAAAACCGTGTTATGCTTGTAATTTCTGAGAAGATAAATGATTTCCCTATCGATTTAATGTAATTATGGGTCAATGTAAGGTCATTTAAGTTTGCTAGGCCTGATAGTTGGCGAGTATCCTATGCCGACACCAAATGGTGTCGGCAAATTCTAAGTTTTTGATAGGGAATAGACTCTGACCCCACACCCCAACATAAAAAAGCAGATATCAAAAATGGGGTGTCAAGGGTCAGAGGAAACTCGGATTAAAATATAGCATGGCAATGATGTAGCCGTGAGAATCAAATTTCATATAACTTTCACCTCATATAAATACACAGTGTAAAATAGAATTACACCACCGAAAGTGACTAGAGATTTAGGCGAAATTCAGACGAACAAAATATAATTCCTGCCAAAAATATCATAGAATGGGCGCTTCATGTTGTGACACATATGAAACATTCGAGAAGGCTGTAATGAGACATAAAACGGTTTATATCAGCCGCTTAAACGCCGTCATAAGGACCATTATAATACAAAACAACCTGCCTTAATGTTAAGGATAAGTAATTGCGAATTCTAGATCTATGCATGTAAATTACCACAAGTTCTTTTTATATGTTCTTTTTCAATCATGCAAGAGACCACTGATACTTCAGATCAGAAACAAATTGGAGCATGCTACCAGTTTGCTTTATTAATTGCCGCACCTCTTCTAAAACGTCATCCTCGATGGTCCATGTACACTGTAAAATCGAAATATGGATAGTTCATGCTTCTTCTCACTCAATCTCAATGCGGTCAGCATCGTTCTTTACAATGATTTTACTATCACTCATACCACACCCGAAAAGACGCTATAAGAATCTCCTTATCTTTCTCTGAATATCCATCCTCCCAAATTTAAACATGGTAAAAGAATTGGGTTCTTATCGGCAAAGGAAGCTAACTGGTAAAATTTTCTGCAAGTAAGAAAGGATACGAATGATTTAAAATAATTGGATTCGTATAGGCATTGGAAGACAACTGGTGACATTTTTGTAAATAAGAAAGGATATAAATGATTTATAAAAGTGTTTCTCTTCCCTCCCTAATACTCTCTCAGCTGTAAATAGTAAATTCTTTCTGACACAAGAAATAATAAATCTTCCAAGGCGAACCATATCCTTGTCTTAAAAGGCATATATGAGTGGATATCCCTCTTAAAAGCATCGATTCATTAAAACTATTCTCTATTCTGACATCTCAAAAATGCCAACAAAAAAACAACATAAAACCACTAGCAAACATCATCGTATTACTTAGGTCGTTGTAGTACAACCGCAAACAAAAAACACATCGGTATTTAGCACAAAAATGAAAAACAAAATATAAACTAGTGCATTGAATGAAGCCTTTGTAATATGGAGAAATTCTACGCAACAGTCACATATACGTTTTTCTGTAAAGTTTTAAATCTACATAATTGTACCATTTTTAAATTGAAAGTCTTCCTGGAAACATTTCTCAATGTAATCATGAGTTAATATAAGCACAAGGAACACAAACATTGTTGCATGTAAATGAATATTTGAATGACTCATTTATTTTATCATGTATTTAATTGATTTTATTGTCTGTATCAAGAATTTGAGAGTTTTTATGGGATATGGGAGAAAACACAATCTACAGTAGCAAAGATTGCAGGCACATGCAATTATCTTCACGTCCATATATATATATATATATATATATATATATATATATATATATATATATATATATATATATATATATATATATATATATATATATATATATATATATATATATGACTTTTGCTTCTTTTTAGCTCAATGTTCCTGCGTTGTGCTATTGATGACCTGAATTATGTAATGAATCCAGAAAATATGTAATAAATTATGACTGAGATTACACGCAGTGCTAAAATTCCAAAAACAGTTAAGAACTTTAGTGGAGGCTGCAAAAATTCAAATAAAATATAGAATTCTTTGATTCGAATAAAAGCAGTTTTACAATTCTGAAACTTTTATAGACTGTAGTGCAAAATTAAACATTTCTTTTATGTTATATTAAAATATATGGCTGTGACTGAATGGTAAAGCTAAAATTACCAAAATGTCACTGACTTTTGCGGACTCGGATTACAATTTTAATTTCACCAACAGTAGATGCAGACAGACCTGGCTTAAAAGTTCGGTTCTGAGTAGTACTCCAGTTCCGAAACTGAAAGGCAAATTAGCAAAGATTGATACAAAAAATTATGACTTTGATTAAAAGCAATATTAAACGTCCGACACTAATATGCAATTTTATCCACTAGACAAAAGTTATCACAATATGTATAAAAGCAATATAAAAGTTATAAATATAACCATTATATTTTTAAATTATTGTAAGTCAACATTTTATGATTACACAAATTATATTGAATTAGTAGAAACTAAAAGAGAAATGAAATTCTTTACAATTTGCCTCAACATTTATAAAGTCAATGTTAAAATTTAATTTTAATTTTTGCATATGTTAGATATAT